ACACACACACACACACACACACACACACACATACATACATAAATATATATATATAATATATATACAGTATAATTAAAAAAATAAAACGGTTTATGCTTTACAATTATAAATTGAATTGCTAATAAAATATACTCAAAATTATGTAAGTAAATAACTAGCTAAATAACTAACTAACTAACTAACTAAATAAATAAATAAAATACAATGATTAAAAAATAAATAAAATTATTGATAATTATTATAGTACCTGAGACTTCCTGGAAAGTAGCAAAAAACCCATCATAGTTATTGTAGCCATCTGACACAAAACGAATATGCAGAGAGTTTCCAGAACTTCTGATTGGTAAAGGGCTTTCATCCCCACAGTATCTGCCAATCACAGGCGACTTTGGACTGTCCCCATCCCGCACCTCTACATAGTCATATCGACAACTATGGTCAGATTCCAGGCTAATCGTTGAAAACCTGAACACGTGTGAACATTGAGAAAAACTGTATTGAGAAAACATACTGTACAAATTTGCAATATAATAGCTTCTTCAAGATGATTAAATTGAGAAATGTTTAAACTACAAATCATTCATTAGCTTTGTAGCTTTTACAGTAGATACCTGAGTTCCATTGTTGCTCCTTGGCCAACTTGTAGTGTCCATTCACATTTGGCATTGATTGGATAACTTTCTAAAGTCACATGACCATGTGGTCTCTGTATAACTTCTCCGCATGCTAAAATTGGCAAAAAGAGTGTGTATGAGAAATTATTTATATATTTGTGACAATAAAAACAATAAAGGTAAATGTCATGTATTAAAAGGATTCTGTAAAGGACCAAATAACTCACTGAGACAGTCTCCACCAGACCACCCTCGACGACACGATGTGCAGTACCTGCCTCTGATGTAGAAATCATCCTTGGGCTGCCAGGTGCCATTGTTGCAAGTCTTGCAGTTATCAAAAATGCTGCAACCTTATTGGATACAGAAATTATTTACTTAATAAATAAATAAAGTTTATGAAAACAGCAAATAGAA